CATTTCTTTAAAGGTCTGTAAGAGAGCCGGTAATAACTGTACACATACTGTATACCACTTCAACAATACCCCCTCTCTCTGTAAGAGCACGAGCGCGCCTGCAATCACAGCACAGCATACAGGCACCCTGCCTCACTCACATTACCATCATAATTACATTACAATAGCTTTTTCTATACGCATGTAAACATGGGATACAGTGAGGCTCTGAAACTGCTGCGCCATCATAACAGCGACATGAGAGAAGTACGGCGGTGATTCTGAATGTCCTCAGAGAAACACGACAACCTTCACGGTTACACATCAATATTGTGCTTCTTCTTTAAGGATCCAGTGATGAGATTTTAAAGCGGAACTTGAAGAATTTGTCAAAAATAAAGACAAAGACATGTCTGTTTGAAACACCTGAGTTCTGATTAGACACGCAGAAAATGTCGAAAATTAGAGCCAAAGATTACGGATAAGAAAAAATGCAGATAAATACTTCAGATCATTTCAAATGGGGCCCAGTCAAGGTGAAAGTCAAAAGCATTGGTGCTACTGTAGATGCCGACAGACTACCAGCAAACACAATGTTTGCAGGACTTCTACAACGAGGATAAAGTGACATAGTCCAGGACCCGAGGGAGGACAGTTTAGCGATGGCGCTACAACACGCTACAGCAGGTCCGTTTGACAAGAAACACTTCTGTTACAGACACTTGTCTTACTTTGTTAAAGCGGTTTACCTGTCCAGCAGAAAGGTTACAGGGTCACCAAGATCCCCAAGCGTCCCCCATGGTTTATGTTGACCCGGCTTTTTAGCTCTTGTCCGGTCTACCTCCGTTTTAAGCGCCCGTTATTCCTCCAGAGTCTCCGGTATTTACTTTGTTTTCTTGCTTGTGTCGGCAGTCGTGGCCAAAGGAGGATTCAGACAATTTTCCGAACTTTCTGGTTGGTTTCTACTGTCCGATATTGTAGCACGCTAACTTTGTTTGGGCTCCTGAACGACACGGGGGAGCAGCGTCTGCCTCACAACCAATCAGGTTAGAGGAGGTGGAGAACGTCTTTGTTTACAGTCAGAAAGAGCGGACCGCTCAAAAATGTTCAAATGTTGACGACACAGACAGAAGAGAACACAGAGATATCGATATATTACCAAATGTCATCAATAACTAATAACTATTGACTGATATTAAAGGTTTTTTGTTTATAAACCACAAAAAAGACGCTTCTTTGCTTTACATGATTTACAGTATGTCACGCTGGTTTCCGTGGAAATACTCATTTTAGTCCCTCTCAGCTGAAATACTCCTTGGGTGTTACTTTTCACACAGCTTTGTGGAAACAAAACGAGCTAACTGTTAGCACCTACTTAGCGCAGCCATGTTATTATAAAGCTTCTGTCACATTACCTGCTGTTTTAATGTTACTTATAGTTTGTTGTTTCTAGACCACACAGAAGGTAAAGAAACAGCCCCAGGTTTCTGTAACGATCAGATCTTTGTTTACAAAAAGGTCGTCAGTGAAGTCGTGATCACAAACAGCGAGCTTGTGGCTGTTGTTGTTCCCAAAAATGACTTTGTGTTTAATGTTTTCTGGGTGGAACAGAGAAAATTGCCGTGACTGACCTTCACGACCCCGACAAAATAAAAAACTTTCTGTGAGACTTTCCAGCTTCAGGGGCGTGTTTCTGATGGAGCTGCTCATTTTCGGGTTTGTATGGAAACAAGCTGTTCACTGGCTGTAAAACTGATTATTTCTCTATTTATACCTCATATTATGAGGAATTTTGCAATCCTCCACACTGTAACAGAAACAAAGCACCTGTAAACTCTCAGGGGTCGCCCTTGAGTTCTGGATTTGCACCTCTCCAAACAGTCATTTCACCCTGAACCTCAGAAAAAGTCCTTTTGGTGCATAAAAACATACATTTTTATCGTTAGTATCTTAGCCCAGTTTTCACTAATCTGATCCAAATAGCTTTTTATGACGCCGTAAAATGAAGTGTGATCATTAATATGGAAAATGAACATGACAACCTTGAAATGAAGATCTAATCTTCGTCACTTTAAAAGGAACCACACAGAGAGTCGAATCTTAACCAACAGGAGACGATCTGAAGAAGTTTGACAGCCATGAACTTTTGGATTTCGATTTAAAAGGGTTTCATTTTCTAAAACTACAGAAATAAACATCAGAGTCCTGAAGTTTTTACAGTTTAGATTTCAAAGTTCCGTCTTAAAATCAGTGATATGTACTTTTTTAAGTCTTTAGGTTCTCTGCCTCTTACTTTGCTGTGTTTTTTTCTGTATTTTTAATGATCTACGGGGGAATATTAACACGCAGAGCTGGATTTGGCCTCATCTCTACTTTTTCTGTTAACCCAGGTGCTCTTCTTCTCCGTCTTCAGTAATAAAAAAATCTTTTGATGACAAATTTGCGAGGAGTCAAAGCGGTTGTTTACCTCCTATTCCCGTCTCTTACTCTGTGTAGCTTCAAACAAACAAGCTCTGTGCAAACCCAGCAGGAGAACAAAGGAAGAGGGGAAAAAATCAATGTAATTGAACACTGTGTGGTCACTGTGACTGCGAGCGCGGATACCATCCTGCAAACATGCAGCAGATTCATCGTGTGCCGAAACGAGCCGCTGACGAAAAAAAAACACAGAAGGACGTCACGAGAGGAAATTAAAGTTTAGGGTTGAAATCCGCTCCATGCGAAAGAAAATGACATGCCAGTGACACTCGGCTCATTTCCTGTGATCCCGGTTGTCATGGAGACGGTACTAAGTTGTAGTAATGTCAGGGTTTGAAGTTGCTCATTAGGGCAGTAATGATTTGTGGATAGATTGGAGGTGTGGGAGCTGTGTCTCATTTGAAGCCATATGCAGGCAGACGGAGTGTTTACTGAGAGATCTCCGCTATTATATTCCTGCTAATGTCATCATTTACATTCTGCCCGTGGACTCTAATGGATCCAGAGCGACACGTCTACCTCCTCTGTTGATCGGAATAATCAATGAACATGCAGGTTTCAATCCCACCGCACACCAGGACTGTGTTTCTGATATTATTAGCAGTGCTAACAGTGGCAGTATTAATGTTCCCTCATAATTGTTATTGTTGCTGATGTGTGTTTGGGCTCAGGAGGGACTTTTTACGACACGCCTCTGTCTTTGTTTTGCGTGGCGTGTGACGAGCTGCTGTGGAAAAAAACTCGAGCGGAGGATTCGCTTTCATGAAAAACAGTTTGACTCCTAAACTCTCGAACAGAAACCGAACATCTGTCGAAAACTCTCCGCGGTGAGACGACGTGACGCCAAAAAAAAAAGTCCAGATTTCAGCATTTATCCAGAACCTAACGGGAGCTCTCTGTTACCTTTTGAAGATGCAGCAGGAGAGATTTCCATTTTGAAACACATTCGTCGAATCAGGCGGCAAGCCAACACCCCGTCACATGTAACCGAGACGACATTGATTAACCCTGTTCGCCAAAATTGGATTCTTGTGTTGAGTACTCAGATAAGTAATTTTGAATCAAAGATGTCTCTAATTAGCTCCGAGAAACTCTCTGATCAGAGTCGACGGAAAAACACAAGAACGTTTCCCTCCAGCTGAGACTTTCTGCAGATACTGTTTCTTCAAGTATTTGGATTTTTAACCCAAATTTGAGAGTATAAGCAAAGTTTAATCTGTGAGCAGCAACAAATCAGACTTTGAATCTTTCTGCACGATAAGGTGAAGCTACAGGATGAACCAGCAAACACAATGTTTGCAGGACTTCTACAACGAGGATAAAGTGACATAGTCCAGGACCCGAGGGAGGACAGTTTAGCGATGGCGCTACAACACGCTACAGCAGGTCCGTTTGACAAGAAACACTTCTGTTACAGACACTTGTCTTACTTTGTTAAAGCGGTTTACCTGTCCAGCAGAAAGGTTACAGGGTCACCAAGATCCCCAAGCGTCCCCCATGGTTTATGTTGACCCGGCTTTTTAGCTCTTGTCCGGTCTACCTCCGTTTTAAGCGCCCGTTATTCCTCCAGAGTCTCCGGTATTTACTTTGTTTTCTTGCTTGTGTCGGCAGTCGTGGCCAAAGGAGGATTCAGACAATTTTCCGAACTTTCTGGTTGGTTTCTACTGTCCGATATTGTAGCACGCTAACTTTGTTTGGGCTCCTGAACGACACGGGGGAGCAGCATTTTCTTGTTTACTGTTTTCTTGTTGCCTGTTTAGGTGTTGACTGTTTGTGGTTGACTGTTTTTTTGTTGACTGTTTTCTTGTTGACTGTTTTGGTGTTGACTGTGGTTGACTGTTTTCTTGTTGACTGTTTTCTTGTTGACTGTTTATGGTTGACTGTTTTCTTGCTGACTGTTTTGGTGTTGACTGTGGTTGATTGTTTTCTTGTTGACTGTTTATGGTTGAATGTTTTCTTGCTGACTGTTTTGGTGTTGACTGTTTATGGTTGACTAATTTTCTTGCTGACTGTTTTCTTGTTGACTGTTTTGGTGTTGACTGTTTATGGTTGACTAATTTTCTTGCTGACTGTTTTCTTGCGGACTGTTTATGTTTGACTGTTTTCTTGCTTGTGTCGGCAGTCGTGGCCAAAGGAGGATTCAGACAATTTTCCGAACTTTCTGGTTGGTTTCTACTGTCCGATATTGTAGCACGCTAACTTTGTTTGGGCTCCTGAACGACACGGGGGAGCAGCGTCTGCCTCACAACCAATCAGGTTAGAGGAGGTGGAGAACGGCTTTGTTTACAGTCAGAAAGAGCGGACCGCTCAAAAATGTTCAAATGTTGACGACACAGACAGAAGAGAACACAGAGATATCGATATATTACCAAATGTCATCAATAACTAATAACTATTGACTGATATTAGAAGAGTTTTTGTTTAATAAAGAAGCTTCTTTAACAGATTCTTGTCTTTCCCACATCTTTAAGTTTCACTCTTGTACATATTAAGACTCTAAATTACAAAAGTAAAAGGTTATTGATGGTTTGGATTTGAAGCAGTCAGGGACCGCTCAGAGTTTCTCGGTGCGGTCGGATGACTTTCTCCGCCTTGATGTCTGAGTGGAGAACTTTAAATTGTTGCTTTAGTCGCTTCTGCCGTCGTTTGGAGTCGGCGTCTCGGCCAAATGTGGCTTTAAACGATAGAAATCCATAAATTATATGTTTGCTGCAGCATCTGAAATGTTGATATCTCGTGACAGTTTTCCACTCGCACCTCGCTGGCTGAGCCGCAGATTGAACGGCCCGATGAATGTGTGAGTGTGCGTCGCAGCGACATAGAGGAGGAGTTCCTGGCAGAGTTTGGGCTCGGTGCTCCGGCTCCACAGTCCTCCTCCTTTTGACATTAAGACCAGAACCCGCTCCCTCGCTGAAAGAGCCCGGCTTCTCTTTTTTAATGAAAGGTGTTCATCATCACCTTGTCAGCAACAGTATGTGACTGCGACAGGTTGACGCCACTTAGTGTCCCTGAGGGGCGCCGCGGCTGTCAGGCAGAATTTGTAGTCCTGCCATTTCACCTTGACAGACGAACCTTCTTGGACAGGACGGCGGAGCGGGACCACGTAACGGGCCCTGCAGTCGTCTCCTCCTTAAAAACAGGGAATACGCTGACATTTGTGTGTTATCCCAGTCCTCGTAGCGCCGTCTTGTTTTTGCTCGTCACTCTGTGTTTACACCAACAGATGATTCACAGCATTACTTCGACCGTCATTCATCGCCCACGTCGCCGCATCCAGACCCTGGAAAGGCTCACAAAGGTCAGAGCGGCGGAGTTTGGTCTTTCCCTCGAGTGACCCAGTTCCCCTTGCACGGACGAGTCCTGATCACGGGGGTAAAGGGTGAAAGGGTGAGGAGGGGGTTACGGTAATGTTAGCTGACATCCTGGGAAGCTGTGATTGCTTAGAGGGCTTTGTGGGCGGGCTGGCGTGGACGGAGAGGGTGGCGGCGGCGGCGGAGGAGGGATAACGGCTGTGTCTCACAAAGGCCTTTAACAGCCTTTAAAAGCTCTGAGAAGGGGCCGGCTCGACGCCAGCCACTCACAGAGGAGAAAACGCTGACACAGCTGAAAAAGAAGGAGGAGGAGGGAGAGCGGGGACAGAGCGGAGGAATGAGGAGGAGCAGGAGGAGCGTGGAGAAGCTCCTGGAGTATCTTTGGAGCTCGGATTGTTGTCCTGAGATCTTTGAGATGATCCAGACACGCCACAACCCTGATCGCCCTCTCTGTCGTCCTCGTGTAATCACAAGAATTCGCACTAAATAATTCACCAGGAGCGACCGCTGAAATATCATCCAGCACTCTCAAACGCACTTCTCCTCTGCAGACAATTAAACTCTGTTTCCCAGAGTCGGGTCAGCGAAAAAACACAAACACAAAACTGTGACCTGATACCGCCGCCGCCGCCGCCGCGAACAGGAACTCAGAGCCTCGTCTGACCTGCTCTGACAAAAACGTGCTAATAAGACGCTCTGCTCCACTTCTCTGGACAATCATCTATCAGGGCAGAAGAAGAATAAAACACACATTATCCCAGAAGAACACCAAAGTCTCCGCAGCTTTATTACTCTCATTTCTTCAGTAACTCCCTCAGACTTCCAGTTGCGTTCCATATTTCATCTCGGCGCTGAAGAATGAGTTTCTTGACAGCCAACATGAGAAATGCGAGAGACTCAATGGGCTCGGCTGGAGGGGGGGCGGCCTACCCACAGAAGATCACAGCAGCGGCGACGAATGCATCAGAAAACACCGCTGTAGGCGAGCATAAGTCAACACAGCCTAATGTGAGCCTTTGGTATGCATGATGTTAAATAGATTGTGAAAATGCTCTTTTCATGACTAAGACGGAGCTTTTCATTAATCCTGGAGCTGAACCTGCCTCCGCAAAACAACGAGCATCCCTCGCGGGAAAGACAAAACACCCACGGCGGGCTACAGAGACCTCAGAAGAGCCCTCGTGTACGACTCACGGACGAGCTCTCACTGCATCCGCCCCCTTAGCTGTGCGTGCGTTTCTGATTTGCATGTTCGTAGATATATCCGTGTGATATGTCATGTGTAGCGTGCTGTAATAAGTGTCTGAGAATGGATCATTTTCTCTGCGTGTGTGTGTGTGTGTGTGTGTGTTTCCCCATCATCTGTTTCCGCGGCGCTCTGCGTGCAGAGTGTAGGTGGATGTGGATTTCACATTGTGCCTTTTATGTGTGCGTGCGCAGCAGTTGGTCAGAGCAGATACAGGTTTTTGATTTTATTTCAGGAGGTCTCTGTTACGGGTACCCACACGGAGCGGATTAGCGCAATAGCGGGGAGATTTAATACACATTAACAGGTGGGAGAGCTGATAAGTCTGCTCACGCTACTTTCTTATTTGCAATGATATTAAAATACTACAGGAGTAACTGGCACGACTCAATTCTGCACAAATCCCTCTCTGCTGGTTCCTCGCCTCTCTCTGCTGCGCCGTCTCTTCCTGAATTCAATGTCGCTGTAACAAGAGGGGATGAAATCATATTCATTTTACAGACTTTCCATCTATTTCTTCAGACCTTTTGTCATTTCCAATTCCAGATCTCAGCTGCTAGGATTGTTGGCAGATAACTCTGACACCTTTGATACCAGGATACAAACACCACATCATTTTAAAGTAGCTGTACGGTCGACCACCGGTCCTGGATACATGTTTTATAAGAGGAAGAGTAACTGAAGGAGACTGGCACCTCAAAACAAGCTGCACACTCCAAAACCAGCCGAGCTAACATCCTGGTTCAACACCGAAAGAGAGAGAGAGATGACGAAATCATGAATTTGGGCTGAAACTGCAGGTTTCTTTTTAACCTGCTTTGAATATCTTTAATTCAAATTTTAACAAACAGCCTTCAGGAAAGTTACTAATCATGTGGTGACGTGTTTAAACAGAAATTTTCAGTCTGACTTCCTCTTTAATAAAAGTTACGTCATCGTTGTTGTCATTGTCGTCGTTGTCTTCTTTTGCTGATCCGGGTCCGGGTCGCGGGGGCAGCAGCTTCATGAGGAAAGCCCTCAACCTAGCCACTTCCTAGGCGCCCCCAAGCCAGGCGAGAGATCTAATCCCTCCACCTGGTCCTGGGCCGGCCACGAGGTCTCCTCCTGGTGGGACATGTCTGGAACACCTCTAACGGGAGGCGTCCAGAAGGCGTCCTAACCAGATACCACCTCAGCTGACTCCTCTGGACGTGGAGGAGCAGCGGTTCTCCTCTGAGCTCCTTCCCCTATCTCTAAGGCTGAGCCCGGACACCCTGAGGAGGAAACCCATTTCAGCCGCTTGTATCTGCGATCTTGTTCTTTCGGTCATTACCCAAAGTTCATGACCATAGGTGAGGATCGGCACGTAGGTCGACCGGTAAATCCAGAGTCTCTCCTTACAGGATTTGTTATTGCTCTTAAAATGGTGAAGCTTGTAATGAAATTCATCAGGCAGCGAGTTCTTGGGTTTTGTTTTTTATTAGAAGAGTGAAACTCAACAATCACGACTTGAAGATGCTCTGCTGAATGAATCTGTTTTAGCTTTTTAGTTTCTGATTGTTTTTTTGTGAGAAGGCCACAGAGCCAGTCCTTCAGAGGCTCCAACACGAGCTTTCATTAATCTGACTCAAACTTCAAATCTTGTTTTTGCTGTTTTATGTCCTTTTTGTTTTCAGCCCAGAAGTTTGGAGGCCTGATGAGTGAACTGAGCGCGCTCAAACATCTGTCATCAGTGGGTTAACTCATGAGAGTGTATGAGCAGAGCAGCCCACTGATTCCTCATCCTGGTATCAGTCATCGTGAAACTCAAACGCACACATATACACTTACAACCACAACTTACATCTAAACTGCTGTGATGGAAACGCAATTCAGGAACATTATCGCCTAAAGTGAATCATGTCAGCTGCCTTTGTGCGCCTGCCTGTAAATCACGCGCCGTGATTGCGAGTTCCCCTTCACATCGAGCCGTGCCCCTGGTAGCTTTAAACGCAGCGACGCCGATTCCAAATAAAACAGGTTTCACTGTCAAACTGTCACCCTGTCACGCTTTGTTAAAAAGACGGCAGAGACGTTTTAATCAGCTGTTGCAAAGTTAAATGAATCACCGCAGGACATCAGAGGATTCAGACTTCACTCCTGGGTTGGTAGACACTAATTCTCCTGCACATCAGCTGTATAGCAGCAGCAGCAGCGGCAGCAGCAGCGGCTATAAAGCTCTCTTCATGTTCTGTCGATCCTCCACAAACCTGCGCTGCACTAATCTCATCATAGTCGGCCTGGCAATCTATTTCTGAGCCGAGTCGTTTTTTTGAATCAAACACCTTTCTTCCAGCCGGCAGAGTGTGACCGCAGGAACGGGAGCTGTCTGCAGGTAGCGGCCCAGGCATCCATTTGTAATGCTGATGTCTGAGTCTGTAATTGCAGCCACATTATCAACACCTGTGCTGATAAGTGAGGGCGCTATAGAAATCTCAGCTGACACAGAGGGAGTCGTTGTGGAGGGCCACGTCAAACCTTTGTCTGCCGTCATTGAAAGTGTAGATTTTCATATGAGTCTCTCTGTAGGGTGACGCGTGGAGCGGCAGGATGGCTGAAAGTAGTGAGTCATTATAAGTTTGCTGTAACCGCCTGACCTGAAATCTACCTACTGAGGGTGTCGCTCTGACTGTGCCGAACGGAGAGTTTCTAAAAAGCAGAATTCAGACTTGTTCTCATTATACAGGACACAGTTTGGAGGAGATTTAACGGCACCAAAGACATCCTGCAATCTGTGCAATCTGTGTGTGTGTGTGTGTGTGTGTGTGTGTGTGTGTGTGTGTGTGTGTGTGTGTGTGTGTGTGTGTGTGTGTACTCGGCCTCTTTAGGGTGGAGGGGGGGCTGGAATGGATCCCAGTGTGCCTATGACTGCATTAACCGGAGCATAGACAGTATAAGAGAAACATTTTCCATATGGATATTCGATGAGCTGCTGTTTCAGAGCCGCAGTTTGAAGAACATCGAGGTTATAAATTATGGAAAAACAACATCAGGTGTCTCTGAGAAGGTGTCGGGCCATCACGGGCGGACACAAACTCTTTCTTGGCTTTGACTCAAGTCTGCGAGACTCCATTAGAGGGATAAACACATTTCTCCTAAAGATATTCATGTTTTGTTTTGTCTGCAATGATGCTGTAAAATGTTTTTGCTCCTGGATAAACACGTCCATTCAGCATCAATATCCATTTCTCTGCAAGTTCATTTTAAGGCCTTTAAAGTGCAGAAAGGTAAAAGCTAAGAAAGTCCAATTATACACTGTTAGATAATAGGAGTCCAGCTGTAAAATCGTTCTCTGACCACTCGGGGAACTTTTGCAAAGCACGTCAAACTCACTTTAGTTTAATGCCATGCAGGGCATTCACAAAAAATCTGAAACTGCAGGCTATGCCTTCAGGAGCAATTTGGGGCTCAGTATCTTGCCTACGGATACTTTGGCATTTAGACAGGAGCAGTTTGGGATTATTGAATTGTGTGTTTTCAAGTTTGAGAGCGACCCTCAGAACCTCGGAGCCGCAGCAGCAGCAGCAGCAGCAGCAGCAGCAGCAGCAGCAGCAGCAGCAGCAGCAGCAGCAGCAGCAGCAGCAGCAGCAGCAGCAGCAGCAGCAGCAGCAGCAGCAGCAGCAGCAGCCGCCCAGACAAAGACTGTAGTATTTATAAAATATGAAGAGAGTTAGGAGGAACTTTAATTACTTTTCAGAGTTTGTTTTATTCACAATAACTTGAACTTAAGTTTTAATGAACTTTGACTTGTTTCTGTTATGTTGGGCTGGCATGGCTTCAACAGGGTGAGGGGTCTTGGTTTTACCTTCCTATCCTCTTTTTTTATAAATATTTACTACATTTTACACAAGTCTTTTTACTTATTTGTACATACAGTTATCTCTTATATATTTATCTTGTTTTTATCTACATGAAAGCACTTTAGAGATGCACTCAAATCTCCTTAGGTGATTCTGACTCTCTCTTCTCTCTGATTTTGTCTTTAGAGATCCAAGTCCTGAGTTTGCAGTTTCACTCGCTGAGTTACTGAACACTCAGTACCATCAAGGTCCAAAACCCTGGTTCATGGTAGCAGAGACTTTTGCTCTACAATACACTTTAAAAAATACAGACGTGAGGCAGGAAAACTGAGAGAAGCAGGTGGAGACAGGCGTGCACGTCTGAAAAGCCAAGGGACACAATAAGAGAGGCTGTCACGATCACGAGCATGCATGTAAAGTAATGCTTACATGCTAAAAAACTCACAGACAGGTTTCAAATCATAACAAATACGAGCTATGATCTCGACATTATCAATGACCCTACATTAAAGAAATAGATCGGATGATTTAACAGAGTCAGTCAGAAAAATATAAAAGAGTTCAGACTTTTACTTTGAAAAGCATCGAGGAAGTTGAACCCCATCAGTCACAAACACTGTTTATATGAGGGCTGAAAAAAGTCTAGCCTTTCTGACTCTAAATCAATAGTTTCATCTTTTAACGATCGTCACTTTATTTACCGTTTGACATCATCCTGCTGTTCTGTAATGTTCAGGTCAGCCTGATAAGGAGGAGACCGAATCCTCACATAAAGACCGATACGCTCCGGGGTTTTTCAGGTTGTTCATTTCTTCGTCACCTGCAGCGATGAAGCTGATAAATTCGTTATATATGCTAATTCACACAATCTAAGGTCACTGTTTCCAATCATCCTCTCCTCTCTTGGTAGCAGAAGGTGGATGATTGATCACACTGTCCAACCTGAGGAGTCACAGCTGATGCATCTTCATTTTTAGGGTCTCATAATCAGCATTAGTGTCTGTTTCCAGGGAAAACTCTGGAGTTGTGTATATCGAGGTCGCAGTCATGATTCAGACGGATATGATGGACAAAGATGGAGATACAGGAATATTTCGAGAGGAACACAGATCTACACTCACTGAGGTTAAAGGTGTTGTAGTCAGGATCTGAGGAAGTTCCAGTTTTTAGGAGAAATCTTGAATGTAAACTCTACCCCTCCCAACCAGTTTTCCCCTCAGCTCCTCCTCTCTCCTCTAAGCCCCGCCCACAAACAGACGCTCCTGCTCGCTCGTATTGTTCCGATTAAATTCAGATATAATGCAGATAAATACTTCAGATCATTACAAATGGGGCCCAGTCAAGGTGAAAGTCAAAAGCATTGGTGCTACTGTAGATGCCAACAGACTACCAGCAAACACAATGTTTGCAGGACTTCTACAACTAGGATAAAGTGACATAGTCCAGGACCCGAGGGAGGACAGTTTAGCGATGGCGCTACAACACGCTACAGCAGGTCCGTTTGACAAGAAACACTTCTGTTACAGACACTTGTCTTACTTTGTTAAAGCGGTTTACCTGTCCAGCAGAAAGGTTACAGGGTCACCAAGATCCCCAAGCGTCCCCCATCGTTTATGTTGACCCGGCTTTTTAGCTCTTGTCCGGTCTACCTCCGTTTTAAGCGCCCGTTATTCCTCCAGAGTCTCCGGTATTTACTTTGTTTTCTTGCTTGTGTCGGCAGTCGTGGCCAAAGGAGGATTCAGACAATTTTCCGAACTTTCTGGTTGGTTTCTACTGTCCGATATTGTAGCACGCTAACTTTGTTTGGGCTCCTGAACGACACGGGGGAGCAGCATTTTCTTGCTGACTGTTTTCTTGTTGCCTGTTTTGGTGTGGACTGTTTTCTTGCTGACTGTTTGTGGTTGACTGTTTTCTTGTTGATTGTGATTGACTGTTATCTTGTTGACTGTTTTCTTGCTGACTGTTTATGGTTGACTGTTTTCTTGCTGACTGTTTTCTTGCTGACTGTTTTCTTGTTGACTATTATCTCGCTGACTGTTTTGGTGTTGACTGTTTTGATGTTGACTGTTTATGGTTGACTGTTTTCTTGTTGACTGATTATGGTTGACGTTTTCTTGCTGACTGTTTTCTTGTTGACTGTTTTCTTGCTGACTGTTTTCTTGTTGACTGTTTTCTTGCTGACTGTTTTCTTGTTGACTGTTTTCTTGTTGACTGTTTTCTTGCTGACTGTTTTCTTGCTGACTGTTTATGTTTGAGTGTTTTCTTGCTTGTGTCGGCAGTCGTGGCCAAAGGAGGATTCAGACAATTTTCCGAACTTTCTGGTTGGTTTCTACTGTCCGATATTGTAGCACGCTAACTTTGTTTGGGCTCCTGAACGACACGGGGGAGCAGCGTCTGCCTCACAACCAATCAGGTTAGAGGAGGTGGAGAACGGCTTTGTTTACAGTCAGAAAGAGCGGACCGCTCAAAAATGTTCAAATGTTGACGACACAGACATAAGAGAACACAGAGATATCTATATATTACCAAATTTCATCAATAACTAATAACTATTGACTGATATTAGAAGATTTTTTTGTAAATACACCACAAAAAAAAGATGCTTCTTTAACGGATTCCTGCTGACCCCACCTTTGACGGGGTTAAGATCAGCCACAATTTTCAATTTTTAGTTGATTATGAAACAGAGTGAAACCTAAACAAACAAGAGCACGATCGATGAGACTTATTATTTCTATATAATAACTTTAAATGCTGAAATTACTGCTGTGGGTTTGGTTTAAATGAAGTGATTAACTGTGGGAGGCCAACACCGACACAGCCTCCTTTCACATTTTTCTCACAGGATGAGTTTATATGTCTGACTGTTAGGACGGCACAGAGGTAAGGTGTCAGTTCCTCACAGTCGCTTTAATCTGGTAAAGCAGCAGTTCTGGTCCTTGGTTTGTTTAGTCCTAAATCCATTTGTTATCTTCATCTATAATCCCTGTATTGGGATTTGAAGTGAGCCTCGGTGCGTGTACAGTATTAAGTGACGACAGCGATAAGGGTCCTTTGCTCGTGTTATGCTTCCTTAATGTTCTCCCCTCAGTTCGGTTCAGACATTAGATCACTTTATGTCCTTAATTTGTCCTTTAAGCAGCTTAAAATGACACTTTCATGTCAACAATGGATCAAAATAATGATATCAGCCGGCTCGGCAGCCCTCACGGAGCTGTTTAGCATCTCTGAGCCACGCACCAAATGTCACAGCCACGTCTGTGTTGGTGTTTTGTTGTCCTGCTAATGTGCGCTCTCTCCATCAGTCTGAATAACACCATCTGATATGAGGCGTGTGTGCGAGCTCTCCGCTCTTCCCTGATTTCTTCCCTGGCTGTAAACAGAGCCAAGATCTTCCCGGTGAAACATCTGACAAAACTCATCTGTCTCTCCTCCCAAGTTGCACACTTGTTCCTGTCTGTTCTTTTTAAGATCTGAGCTTCCCTGATGCCTCTATGAATCTGCAGTCTGAAGTCATTGTACTTGGTATCTTCAGAGCCTGTAGGCCACGATGAACTTATTAGGAAAGACGCAAGTACACAGCTGTTATTATTAGCAGCTTACACTCGCTTTATTTCCTCTTTTTAAAAGCACAGACTGTATGAAAATATGGATGACACAACAGCTCCCCAAAACTGAAACCAAAAGATTTAAAGCTCCCTATAGGTCACTACAATGTTTGCAAGCTTTGCCTCAAAATAGGGCCTAATTGACCTATCGCTAAGCCCCGCCCCTCGAACACAGATGAGCCAATGGCAGTGAAGTATCAGTTGCACCGGGACCATAACTCAATCCACCGATCGTAGCTGATCGTAACCATTCAAGTTAACGTGTCGATTTACACCGGCTTCTCTCCGTTCCTCTGCGCATCGCCGGACTCCTCAGCTGATCATGAGACTTCTATTTTTTCCGGACGCCGGAGCATGGCGAGAAAACATGGTGAAAAAAAACAAAGGTGTGGATGGGGTAGATGTAATCTCAACACAAGGTACCCCGACAGGACGGGCAGTGGGGTGAATTTCATTCCAAGTGTTTGCTGTGGATGAAGTTGTGTAACAGACCACACCAACAACGTCCAGAAGATCAACAAGGACGTCTACGTTTGTTTTAAGTTACGTCAACATAGCTTTAAATCTACGAACTTGACCGACAGGTATTTAATCGTCATTAGTGATGTAGTGACAGAGCTTTAGCTAGTGCTAATGTTAGGCCAGGTTAGCACACTAGCTGAGTGCCTCCTCAGATTAGTTTATATAATTAATTTAATCCGACCCTGTGGTAAACAAACAGTGTTGGTCGTGGATGTTGTCATCTGCAATCATGAGATGAAGCTTTGTCTGCTCTCCCTTTTGAAGAAATCACGTCTTTCTGTGCCCAGAATTTGTCGAGACCCTCTTGGAGGAGCGTTTTGACACTGGCAGCGGCCATTTTAAAGCACTGCTCAGCTCGTATTGCTTGTCCGAGTTAGCAACAGTAACTAAGGGGGGCGGGGCTTAGCGATAGGTCAATTAAACAAATTTATATTGGGTATAAATAGAGAGATTAAATATATGGAGTCAAACCATATTTTTATGACAAAATGAAGACTTCAACACAGGTACTAATGGGGTCCTCTGGGCTTTTGGAGTCAGCCTCCAGTGGACATTTGAGGTACTGCAGCTGTTTTCATTTTCTAACATTAAAGGTTGTTACTTGTTTAGAACTTGTCATGCTGCCCCCTTGTGGCCAAAACAATCTATTTTATTCAAGCCAAAAGCACCAAAACGATCAATGCAGCTTCTCCTTTCTGTTTCTGAATAACATCTCAGGGTTTAACTTCTTATTTCAGAGAGGAGCAAAGCTTTACAGTCTTTTTATCCCAGTCACAACTTTTACAAGGAAGTGAAGTTTTATTGGCTGATGTTCGCCTCATATATTTGTGATTTTGCCTTTAATATATCACAACATTTATTTTGGTCTACATAACTATGGCGTCTGTATTTGCCGTGGCAGACAAGAGCCCCAAAAACCCGAGTATGCAGGCTTACAAAGAGAGAGATTTAATTAAAAGAGTATGCTTTTAATGAGAAATCTATTTCCTGATATTTCAGGAATATAAGAGCTGAGATAACAGGCACACCGAGCGAGCTCTAAAGATACTCTCAAGAGGAGAGGTGTGAAGGGAGTGTGAGGAGCACAAATGGGATATATAGAGTGTATGGAGTGTACAGAGTGCAGTGCAGCGTGATCACAGTGGACTGCTGCCTCGGTCCGGTTACACCCACACTGAGAGGTGGAGAGAATATCCAAACAGGAGTGTTCCCATGTTGTTAAATTTTACTCAGGACACACTTCAGCTCAACTCGAGTATCCATCCGTCCATCTATCCATCCGTCCATCCATCCATCTACAGTATAGAGAGGAAACACAGTCCATCTGTTCCTCTTATGTTTCATCATCCAGGTGAAAAAAAAAAAAACAGCAAATACGACACGACACACATGAAATACAGGAGAGGAAATCACAGGTGATAGCTTGGGAAAATAAGAGGAAACTGTTACAGGTAACAGCGGTGCTGTCAGAGCTCTCATTTTCAGCGAGGCTCTCCTCTCTGATATCATTCTCGCTGTCACTCTTTTGAGGAGAAAAAAAAGAGAAGGTAAGAGTCTGCAGCTCCTTTTATGGCGGCTGTAATTTCACATGGAAGGAAAAGTGAATCCAGGTGCAGCCCGTTTAATATATTTTGTCTTGGAAATGCGCGTGTCTATATGCTAATGTGTGTCAGGGGTGTAAAAACGGGGATAGCGGCGGCGGTGTTGGTGGTGGTGGTGGGGCAGGCGGAGGATGTGGGTTTGGTGGTCTGAAATGTGGCATGGAGGGAGCTGGAGGGTAGCCGAGGGCAGCCGCAGGAAGGAGAGGAGATTTTCAGCTTTGATTTTATGGATCTCACAAGTTGGCCTGAGTATTTATTCAGGAGCGTACTCCTCATACATTTGTTATTTAATTGGCTAAATTTAAAGTCCAATTTGAGCAGGTAAAATCTCTTTTATCAGGATGCCTTAATAAGTCTCTGCAGACTCTTCAGCTGGTCCAAAATGCTGCAGCTTGAATACTGACTAGAACAGAGAAAGAGATCACATCTCTTCAGTTTTGACTCTCTGTACCGGCTGTCCATAAAATTCAAAGGTTTAAATACAATTTTAAAATCCTTCTTTTGGCCTAAAACGCTCTTGATGATCAGGTATCATCACATCTCAAAGAGCTTAAAGGACCTCTTGACCTCTCGGGGACACCATACTCCCAGTGTGCAGGCCCGTCTCTAAAAGTAGTCTGGATGGTAGACCTCCTCGGTTCTTTGGAATCGTTCTCCAGTCCAGGTCTGACGCAGACATCCTCTCTGCGGGTCTAAAACTTCCTTTTCTGATGAAGCTTGTATTCACTACATCTGTACAACTTAAAATAAAGATTTGTCCTGATTCTGGAGCTCATCGGCCGGTTAGACGGCTCTTATTAAAGCTGATGATGAATATTAAAGCTCCTCTAAGGAGATTTCAGCTGATGATGATGAAACCCACTGAAATTAGAACTAATGCCTCTACATGACCGACAACAACACAGCAGACCATCAGTAACATGATTCATTATCTTCATCCTGGTTTTTCTGATGTTTGGAGCTCCTGGTGAACGGTTGGTGTCAGATTACTGAACACTGCTGAACCTGCTTTAAACATCTAACTAGGGCTGAACGATTAATCGATTTTATATCCTGATCGGATTGTTTGATTATGACGATGTTAAAAAAATCAAAATCATCAAATCAATTTTCCTCTTTATCACAGGGTGAACATATTCTGAATCCCAAAAAGAGGACACGACTACGCAGGGGCGGAGTCACCAAGTTGTGCATATTTAACTTTGAGAGTTTGTCGGGTCAGATCGAGTGTTTTTTACACGCTTCTACGCGACACAAACTCAAAACTTCCACGCAAAACCGCCGACATTTAAAGGATTTTATAAACTCCCCCGACAGAGCCGGACAGCCCGCAAAAAAAAGAGGACGAATGGTCACCCTATCCTATCATGTCTCGAGCCTCCAGGCCACCGTAGGCTCATGGCGTTTGCTAAAGAAGGCGATAATTTCGTGGTTAAATAGGACAAGAGCGAGTCAGTCGTGTTGAAGTGGTACGACTTCACAGTTTCAGATGAAGAGTAAACCACTCCCCGCTGCAAAGTCTGTCTGAAGGCGTATCAACCCGTCACCATGGAAACTAATTCAGGAGGAAACGCTAAAGTTTTTTACCGTATCGGCGTTTCAGGTGTCTGTAAACGGTACTTTTTGAAAACGGGTCAGAGAGTGAATAAATCTGTAAACGACGACCATTTCATCTCCGTGTGGATGTCTATCTGCATCTCTGGAAACGATCATGTGACACACAGACTAACTCTTTTATGGCGCCAAAACAACCTTTATACACATGCTCTGTACTCTTCTTCTGTCTTTTGTGATTTCCTGTGCTGAGTTACAGCGCCACTTACTGACTTGGCATATGAACTACATCGTTTTAAGCGGTTTCATTTTAAGAGATGATAGAAAAACTTTTTATTAAAGTGAAGTTTGGTGAAGTTGACACTGAATAAAAAATAAAAAATAAAAAAAATCGGGATTTAATTTTTGTCTAAAATCGTACAGCCCTACGAACAGCAAAGACTCACTGAGGGTGACAGAGAGGAAGTAGAAGGAGTTTCTCTGGGTGATAGGTCAAAAATCCGATGTTAACATGTGCGGTTCAAAACTAGAAAAGACAAGAAGAGTACTGATTTGACCACAGGGGGTGCCAAACTCAAAGGAGCTGTATATAAATGTTTCCAAAGATCTGATTCACTGATCTGTAATCTTTCAGCTTGTTTTTTTGACTCTAACTGCCCTCATCGTTTAATTTAATGTCCTCAGGCTGTGAACGCCATAAAGAGCAATAACAAAATCACTGCAGGTTTCTTTTTGCTTCACCAAACCGCAGACAGACACAGTTCAGGACAGACTGGTAAACATATTGAAGCGTTCATCAGCCAACTGCCACAGATCGCCCTACAGGAAACTGGTGGTGAGCCAGAGAAGAGCGAGTCGAGGAAACACGAGACTTCACCCACCGGAGAGACAGACACATGACAGGAAGTCCAAACCAGAGGAGGAGGTTTTGGACTTCTGAGAGGTGGAGGGGAACCGGGCTCCGAGGGAATAAGGGTGAGAACTGCTAATATGGACAACCGCTCACACCTACAGGCAATTTAGAGCGACCAATTAACCTAATGAGCATGTCTTTGGACTGAGGAGGGAAGATGGAGTACTGATGCATGTACAAAGAGAATATGCAGACTCTGCACAGGGAGGCCCAGCTGGGATTTGAACCAGGAACCGTCTTGCTGTAAGGTAAAAGTGCAAACCGCTGCACACTAGGAGTCTATTGAAGCTCTGAGATGGTGATTTCTTTGGGCTTTAATGGTGAAAATGTTTTCAAATTGAACCCCGGCTTGTTCTGTCTGTCCTCCAGAGGCTGAAAAATTTAAATCAGGAGTTTCAGTGTGTGATGTTTAACGCTTTCAAGTCAAACTGTACGATGAAATGATGATTTTCTGTCCTTTTTTTCACATTCAGCATCTGTAGTTATTTACAGTCTCGATGTCTCCAAACACCGACCCCCTCAGATGAAGATATTCTTGGTCCAAATCAGGATAAACTGAGCAGTAATCTCTGCTCCAGCACGGTGAGGACGCTTCAGTTTAGAGCACATAAGCTGCGCTCACTCACCAAACCTCGCTCACGTGCCAATCATCTTTACTGGAGGAACAAGTCAACCGTGCGCTGGTTCTGGTTCTGGTTCCCGGTCGATTGTGAGGAGTTTCGAGATGTTTCTAGATGCTTCAAGGTTGATTTCCTCACTGAAACAGCTCTATCAACTCTAAGTACACGAGTGCCAGCGCGCACAAGTCCGTGTTTGTCATGCTAATCACACTGGACTGTTAGATGAGACTGTAAATGGGATCTCCAGGAACTCTGTGCACCCCTGACCCAGATAAACAGGCTCAATGACAGACGATCAAACATCCGTGTTTATGAGATCCTCTGATGATATAAAGTTTTATCATTTCCTCATTCCTACTCTCATCTATGTTTTTATCTCTCACTGTGAAAGCAAACCTCACGCTCGAGTAAAGAAACTCCAGCTGCATCTTCAAAAATAAGCTTCTCCTCTTCATTTGAGAGACGATTGCTTTCTCTATTGTTCATACTTTGCAAATAAGATGCCTCCTGTGTTCGGTAAGATATCCAATTCAACGAGAGAATACAGTACAAACAACAAAACAGCCTCAGAAATCCTCAGTACATTAGCATCACCTGCTTTTTATGCTGTGAGCCGTATTTTTAGTCTTTTTCTAAAGAGGCGTTTATTCATTATTCATGTAAAAGAAGAAAAACAGCGTTTTCTTTTGTGGCTGTGACAGACACGCAGCAATCTCCAGATGAATAGTTTGGATTTGATAAAGAGGAGGATGATAAGGAAGCTAAGAAGGCGGCTTTTGGTGATTGACAATCATCGGATACAAAGAGTCTAACCCCCGTGTGCCGCTGCTCAAAGTCAGCTGCAGAAAAACTCCAAGAATCGTTTGAAGGTTTCGTTTCACTGCGGCAGAGATTGATGGCCCGGGGCATGCAGGGAACATTATCTGGACTTGAGTAAAGGTGAGTGTAACTTGATGACAGATTCACGGGGAGAGAGGCTGGATGCTCTCGAACCCTGGTGTAAGATAATGTGTATAATCCACTGCAGGGATGTTAAGTGCACTCATTTCACACTCCATTTCACACAGCACTGCCCCAGGAAGAGTCTTTGTGTCTGATGACTCAGGAAACACACAACATCCCTCTTCTGGATCTTTCTGTCCAGTGTTAATAATCTGAAATCGCTTTTCCTCGCTTTCCTTGAATTAATGATATGTCGGCGAGTGTAATAAGGGGCGGGCTTCATGTTATGTGTGAAATTCATACTAGTCAATGAAAGTCAATGTTTGGGTGCAAATTACCTGAGAAGATGTATCACAGACATTAAAATCCTATTTGAAGGTGCAGTTTCTACCTGTTGCTTTAACCTGAAAAAGCTCCAAAACGCACAAATTGAAACTCGGAAAAAAACCACAGCGTCTGTTTTTATGAGATTACGAGCTACAAGGGCGAAAGTTTAATTTGCATCCATCTAAAAATAAGGCGTCCTCTCAGTGGGCGTCAATGCTCCATTAAGATAAACTGTGTCCATAAACTGGCCTCAAATAGCTTTAAGTATTAAAGACATTCTCATCAGAAACACAGGATAAGGAATAAAACGCTGTCTACACGCCGAAGTGATGGGAGAGTAAAGGCTGATGCAACACGAGGGGAAGACAGAGAGCAGATATTTTATTAGGTCATGGGTTTACTCAGGCCTTTTCAAAATAAAAGTCATGTCGATTTTAACATATCAGGTTCAGTCTCTCCTATGACTCATTTAAACTTTTCTCCCTCATACTCGGATTTATTTTGGACGTTAGGTTGTGATGTTAAAAAGTCATTTTGACTTGTTTCACCATAAATGTTCAGCAGAGCTTTAAGTGATTAAAGTTTGTAGATTAGCAGTGCCAATGAGGATGAAGTGAAATCTATACCGGCTGAATAAAGCTTTCCCTCGACGGGACGTTCATGGTTCAATACAGACTCGTTTTTTTGAAGCTCGAACACGTTGAAAATGTTTGTACATTTTTATAAAATATCCTCACATTAAATACAAAAACCTGCATGAGAAATAACCATCGATTTACTCCTCATGTTAATGCAACACGAGGACATTAAACAACAAAGATATTTTAATCTAGTGAAATAAATACTCTGAGGTACTTAATCTTTGAATTTCTATTTCATAAGAGGCTTTATTGTTAAGTTAAAAATTCCCAAGCTGCTTCTTTATAATGTTTACAGATCATACTAAACAGCAGAAGTCAATGTTTGGTAACAAATAACATGAATGGATGTAATTCCACCATTAAAATGCTGTCTGAATAGATGACCTCTGCCTGTTTCTGAACACTAAATATTTAGATATTTAAATTTTTAATAAAATAATCTTATTAAACTGAGAGAAAAAAACTCAGTAGGTGAGTCAAGGTGAAAGTCAAAAGCATTGGTGCTACTGTAGATGCCAACAGACTACCAGCAAACACAATGTTTGCAGGACTTCTACAACTAGGATAAAGTGACAAAGTGACCGCTCAAAAATGTTCAAATGTTGACGACACAGACATAAGAGAACACAGAGATATCGATATATTACCAAATGTCATCAATAACTAATAACTATTGACTGATATTAGAAGATTTTTTGTAAATACACCTCAAAATAAAAAGATGCTTCTTTAACAGATTCCTGCCTACACCAAAATTTACATCAACCAACATTTAGAGGAAGCATCAACGGTCCAGTTTAATCTGGACTATAATAATAACTGGTATTAATCCAACATCTTCATAAACTTCATAAAATTTAGAAAAAAGAAAAGTCAAAGATAATATTTGGATTTGAATAAAAGCAGGTCGTTTTAATCACTTTGTCTTTGTTTTGGCATTTCCTGCCTGATTTTCAAAGTAACTTTTTTTTAACATTTAGAAGAAAACAAACATGAAACGAGTTTCATTTTCATTCGGTGTTCGGGGTCTAATAACAGGCAGAGATGAAAAGACGATTAGATGATAAGAAACCATCAATCTAACAGGCCGGAAACCAAACTCAGGATGTTTTTCTCGCTCTGATTGTTCGTAAGCAAAAACTTTTAGTCATCTCAAGATTGAAACAACCACTCCCAGCTCAGGGACGTCTGGTCTCGTTGGTCCAAAAACCTTTTTTTTTAAAGTGTGATCAAGTAAATCAAGAAAACAAGCTGTTACCAAAAGTTGAAGTTGAAGTTAGAAATTTGGTATAGAGTATCCTGAAATTCATTATAATATCTCATATTATGGTCTAGTTTGTTACTGTAAAGGCATTTCTGTAAACAACTAAAAACTCCTGAATGAAGCTTTAATCCTTAGTCTATTGCAGAGACTAAAACATCATAATTTAACAAGGAAGTACTGTCAATGTTAATTTGATAACTATTTTAAAGAACAAAAGTTACATTAGCCTTAAAAAAGTAGATTATTTAATAAATATAATGAAGAATCTTTAAGCCAAGACTTATAAAAACATCATATCTTTACTGACATGTTGACATTTTTAAACAAAACATAAATATGAGATAAATTCTGCCCATATGAGGAAATACAAAGGCCGGCTACTTTTATTTAGTCGTATTTATAATTTGGTCCTGACTCATTTTACTTTTACAGGTTTTACAGGTTTCGCAGTGATGGGATTACGCAGCGAGGAGAAGAAGAAGAGCGGGTCCAGCTGTAACTTCAGCAGACATCTGTCCAGGACACGCTGAAGACACTTCACTGAGCTGTTGATTGCACCGCTGTTAGCGAGCTGATGGTAATGTTAGCAGATAAAGTGACTCAACCACTCAGTCCGGTATGTTTGGTGAGTTAAAATAACAGGCTGAGGGTTCATTGGAGTTTATCAGACACCTGCAGCAGGATCACCGCAGCAGACACCAGCGCATCTCCTCAGTTAAGAGGGGCGCCCGTCCATCCATGCACCACACAGACATGCCAACAAGATGAGTCAGAATCAAGAGTTCAGAAATACAGGAGTTTTCTACACAAACACTCAGTCCAGGTTCACTCAGAGGAGAGTTTGGGGTTAAATTCAGCTCCTCTTTGTCATAAATAATAATAATAAGGAGTAATGAGGATCCACCTCAGTCTGCTCTCTGGTGACTTAAACTCGACAGATTTGGACTCTGAAGACTCGAGACTCAATGTGACTCAACATGATTATTATTTTTACAAATCCTGTTTTCAGGTAATGTTGGAAATTCACAGTCATCAACAGAAGTCAATCAGTCCTTATTAATATAGAGATGCCATTTAAAGCTGTCATTTATGGATACCATCGTGGTAGTTTTAAGGTAAAGTTTAATGTACAAATGAAAAAAAATAATATATTGCAATATTACAAAGACTGTAGTTACTTTTGTTTCAGTTGTTGACCAGGTTGTTTTTTTAATGGCTGATATCTTTAGCAGAGCTCTCAAGTCTCCCGTTTTGGTCTGGAAACGACCGTATTTTACCTCGCCATGTTCCTGTATTAGTATTGTCCCGTAAATCTCCTGTATTATAATATATGTATATGAAAAAACATTATTCTGCCTCTCCAAGCTGAAGTCTGTCACTGGCGCACGCTAAGAACCCACCAACTAGTAGTAGTGAGTTATGATCTGTGATCACACAGACGATGAATTAACAATGAATTATGATAAAATTTACGGAGCAGGTCAGACGATGGTAAATTCATAAAGTCGAAATCACATTATTATTTATGCATTTTATAAATAATCATGTTTGTTTTCTATCTCAGCCAAAAACACATTTTATACGGATTTTGAGTGAATACATGTTAAAAAGAAGAACAAATATGGCTGCACTAAGATGTTGACACTTGGCTTATTTACAACAGAGATAATATTAAACTCTAATTTTCTTTCTTTAGCAAAGAGACTAAACACAACTCACCTACTCTCTTCCAGCAGACGCTTGTTTGGGCCAGTCCATTATGGACTACAGCGGGGTTTCACAGCTCAAGGAAGAACATTTATGATAATTTCTTCATGGAAATGCAATCAGACCGAGACGCTAAGGCAGAAGAACTACCACGTCTGTAAAATGATTACTATGACAATTATTACTTCAAGGAAATGATAAAGAAATGATGATAAATGTTTGACCCTAAATCAATTTCATGACAGAATATCCCTTTAAGGTGTTGTCATGAAGAGATGTTGATGTTGCAGCTCCAAAGTCGAGGCTGCCTGCAGTGTCTGCAGACCATGTTTGTTCATTAAGCTAAATTTCTTTCCCCTTATTAGCTCATATATCGACCAATGCTAATTTGTCTAAAATGTTATTTATCGTCCCGTTGGATTAGTCAGACTTTCTCTATTTTGCACCATCCTAGATGTGGTTTTGATGAGGGTACAGTGGTCCTTTAGTCAGCTGCTTTGAGCTCCTACCAATAGGAATCTTTAGTTTACATGTTTTCGGTCATTTTGAAATAATCGTACAAACACAGACACGTGAGAATGTGAGGGCATCATTTCTGCATCGTCATGTGTTTTTCTGTTACAGCCTCGTTACCTGTCTTTAAGATTAAGGGTCTCCTTTTCATTTCTAAGAAGAAGAAGAAGAAAAAAAAAGCGTGTGTTTGAAGTGTAGCCACGTTTCATTCCCCCTGTCTTTACTACGGGATTGTTTGGAAAACCTCCCCAGTGAGCAGATGGCGTCTGCCGAGAGGAGAGTGGAGCTGGAACCTGGGCTCTGTACGCTGCGGAAAACACTTCTCCATCTCCGGCACGAGGCTTTGTAAGCGGGGGGAGAAAAAAAGGAACACAGGGAGGTCTTTGGGGAATTGAAGCACCGGTCTGTTTTGGGAAACAGTGCACACGTTTGTTTATCACTCTCTTGCTCTTGGATCGGTGCAGCAGCAGCAGCAGCAGCTACAGTTAAAGATGTGGATAGTGGAGATCAAACCTCCTCCCCTCCCTCTTCTTGGACTGATTTCAATCACTTTGATCACTGTGTTCAACATCAAATGAGGGATGTGCTCTTGATTTGACCCCTCGCCAACTGTGCGAAATGTAAAGAAGTCTTTGTTTCCCTCCTGCAAGCTAATCTACGGTGTGCTACCAGTGTGTCCTCTTGTATTATTAAGCAGAAGAGAGCGAGGCGATGCTACAGTATCTCTCCGTAGCTGCTTACACTCCGGCCCATGACATATTAACGAGAACTTAGCAGCAGGAAAAGCAGAGGTCTTACGCTGAGTCTGCACTTGCTAAACTAACTCGGGAGGACAAGATAAGCCCGGCACGGCTCGGAAAAGTAAATCTATGGCTGTTTGAATAAGCTCTGCCTGCACCTCTCCCTGGAAGCAGCTGCAATCTCCCCACACACACACACACATACGTGCACACACACACACGGACACACACCGTCTTCCCTCCAATCTCTCTCAGGGGGAGATTTCTTAAGCATGCTTTGTAGCTAGATCCAGGTAGGCTATCAGTCACTGTTGTGAAGAACATGCCAACAAGAATAACCCGACGTAAGACATAAAATCCATCTGGTGGGAGCTGAGAGGCTGGAAGAGATTGAATTAAAATCGGCCTTTTTGCTGAGTCAGACTCTTTAGATAATTACCCGCTGATATGAGGAACATTTCCCCTCTTGGCTGTAAGTTCAGAGCGAATGCAGACAATGGCATATTTGGCTGCAATCACAGCAGCCCCCCCACCACGAATTGAGGCTATGAGAGTGAGATAGCACAAAGCTAATCTCCGGCCCCACGAAAAGGCCTGAGGGAGCAGCCCCAAATGGAAGCTGTATTAAAACCCGGAGGAGGAGGAGGTGGAGGAGGAGGTGGAGGAATCTTGGGTTTGTGTTCTGGTGCTCGACCACAACCTCCAACCTCCAGTGTTGTTTTATAAGCAGAGAGACACGCTCATCCACCTCAACCTGCATCCTCAACGACTAGATAAAAGCTTTCAAGTAACCTGGGTGCTGTTTAAGTTTGCACACACACACACACACACACACACACACACACACACACACACACACACACACACACACACACACACACACATACACACACACACACACACAGACGCACACACACGCTGCAGCAGCAGGCTCACATCAAAATTGTCTCCTATCTCTCTGCCACTGCCAGGAGGCTGCACATCTGCACAGCACACTGACTGACAATCGATGGTTTACACACTATGCGCTCCTCTCCTCTCCTCTCCTCTCCTCTCCTCTCCTCTCCTTTCCTCCCTCCTTCACCCACCCCATCAAACACACAGACTCACAAAAACACCACCACCACCCAGCCAGCAGCCAGGGTGCTCCCCTACGTGACTCAACTAGTTTGAGGGCTGAGAGGGAGACACCGACAGAGAGAGGTGGAGATGATGAGATAAATGTGGGGGAGCTCTCTGCTGCACCCCCCTGCTGCTGCTGCCGTTCACACTCATCCTCACTTTTTACTCTGAGCCTCCACAACTACACCTCTAATCACGGATGAAGCCTGTAGCTCAAGCAGTTTGGGTGTTGAGTCATTCTTTTATGGTTTTCTCTGAGACTTCAGGCGGATCTGCAGCGCAGCGAGCCACACACACGCAAACACACACACACGCACACAAAAACGCTGCGCCTTAACGCGTAAAAACAATCAATGCACCTTCAGTCCTGGGCGTTGCACTCAAAGCTTTAACAAATCTGTCAGAACGTGACGGATCTTATATTCCTCCAACATTCATCAGCTTTCAAACGTGCAAATTTCACGGCAAGTGTTCAACCCGAAACAGAGATTGATCTCGTGGATCTGTGTTTTCGGTGTCTCGTGAAATTCCCTTTCATACTTATATAAGTCACGATGTAATTTTAAAACATTGATTTCCTCAGATGACCCATTTCTGCAGCTTGGGTGGTTGCACACTTACCCCGATCTCCAGCCCACGAAGAATCCTTTTATAAGAAGTGACCCATATCCAAAGCGAATCCGTGTCTTGTTTGCTCCGTCAGTGCGTGAAGGGAGGCTTTCCCTCAGCAGATCAGACCCCACATCTAAACATTGTTTCTCCTCAATAGTATCCAAAAGGAATTTCCACACGCATTTCGAGGCTGCGTCGATCCATCCAAGAGCATCGCGAGCGCTGTCCACGGAAAAGTGGTGCTGAAAGTCTCAAGTCCCAACTTTCCTCTGTGTGCGAATTGGAGAGAAATGGCGCGTCCAAAAAAAGAAAAGGAGAAGGGCCGCTCACTTACAGAGCTCCCGCGAGGAGGAGGAGATCAGATTTGTCCGGGATAACTGAGCAGAGAAGCTCATATCCCCACACCCAAGGCGAGAGCACTTTCCCGCTGATAGACGGAGGACTGAACGCTGCGCCCCGCGCTCTGGATGTGATGGATGTGAAACGCATCGCGGCGCAGCGCCTTTATCAGGGGAGAAATGCACCATCAATGAATGAGGAGAAAAGGTGTGAATGCCAGATTACAGCCTGTAATAACGACGGAGCTTCAGCTGAGGCTCCACGGGCGGAGTGTGACATGAAGCTTTGGATTCAGTTTCTCAAATATTAACGGCTCAGACTCAGAGTTCCGGACATTTATTATTATTTTCCTCTCTGTGATAAAAAGACAAACAAGCGCAGGAAGTCAGCCAGTCTGTCTGCAGAGTTTAGTCCGATTAAACTTCAAAATCTGTTTATTTAAATGGATTTAGAGCCTGTTACATGATCGACCGTGTCATGCTGTCGTCTGTATTCTGGGGAATCATCGTGTTTAATCAGCTGACTTGTCAGGCTGGCAGCAGAGGATGAGCAGAGATTGTTTCAGGTTACAGGTGTTGTTGTGCAGCCATGCAGCAGGTTGAGGCAGATATTCAACTCTATCCGAGAGCCAATGAGACGGGGTCGTTTCTTTTTAACTTTATTTATGTTGTTTTTGTGGCTCTCAAAGAAAATCCACCGAGTTATATTTTATATATGAGTGTGAGACCTCAAAGCCCACAGCCCTGTCCTCTTTCTTCTTCTGTGGTTCCTGATTTGTAAACATTTAGGCTCTTTGTCTCCTTCTTTAGACTATTTTCACCTCCAACAACAATTTTTACATCTTTTTCTACCTGCAAGTTTTTACTGAATCAAACTAACGAAGAAAAAACGTGAATTTAGAGTGACTACAGCTAACTTAAAGTTACACCAAACTAAGCTAATAACTTGTTGTTCCCGTTAAATGTTATGACTGGGTTGTGTTCTTACCTCGATTCTGATTGGTCGATACCCCGAAGCAACCTTTCATTTCTTGATAGTAGACCGTTGCTAGGAGGAACAGGCTGTTGCTAAGGACTGAGCCGATTGCAGACCCTGGAGATGTAACAGAAATAATATCCCCAGTTAGTTGGTAAGTGATTATAGAACTGAAACAGAAATAAATAACTTTATGACAGAATTCTATCAAACACGTACTTTACTCTATTTTTGTTACATTATTAAATTAGCAACTTTTTTAGTATTGTTGCAAAATCTTAACCAATTTGGGGAAAATCAATAATTTTAAAGTCAATAATAATAATAATAATCCTTATAAAGCACTTTAAAAACAGATGTTTACAAAGTGCTTTGACAGAAAGTGAAAGAGCACAAAAATAAAAACAAGAAGCCCAAATAAAGGTTTTAAAAAATGAAGAACATTTTCATTTCTTATAAGAAACTCAGACAATACAAGAACCACGCGACAGAAAATGAGAGGATGAATGAGACCATAAGGACCAAAATAAAAGCCATCAGAAGGGAAAGAAAATGCAATAAAAAAAAGGGGGTTGGAAGCAGAAAACAGGATCGCAAATATAAAAAGACAATATTAATAATGATAATAATATCAACATAAAACAGTAATGATAAGATAGAATAACACAAATTAGCAATAAATAAAACAATAAAAGCCTGAAAAGGTTATTTAATGTAACAAAAGCTAAAATGGACAGTAAAGCAAAAATAAAAGATAAAAGATAAAAGACAACAGAAAAAGTATTAATCCTTCTTTTCTAAGTAAGTCAATTTTAAAGCAACCATGTTGCCAAATTATTCGATTACAGACACAGTATACTGTGTAATTTTATTTTATGCAGTTTAATGTCCGTCCTTATTTAAAATTGACTTTTCTGAACTGACTCTAAATATAGATCGTTATTATAGACAGATGTTTTCAGCTAGCTTTAAAGGTGGGATCGGCAGGAATCTGTTAAAGAAGCATCTTATTTTGTAGTTTGTATAAAAAAAAGCTTTTCATATCAGTCATAAGCCACATTTAGCCGAGATGCCGACTCCAAACGACGGCAGAAGCGACTAAAGCAACAATTTAAAGTTCTCCACTCAGACATCAAAGCTGAGAAAGTCATCAGACCGCACCGAGAAACCCTGAGCGGTCCCTGACTGCTTCAAATCTAAACCATCAATAACCTTTTACTTTTGTAATTTAGAGTCTTTATATGTACAAGAGTGAAACTTAAAGATGTGGGGAAGACAGGAATCTGTCAAAGAAGCATCTTTTTTTGTGGTGTTTACACAAAAAACCTTTTAAAATCAGTCAATAGTTATTAGTTATTGATGACATTTGGTAATATATCGATATCTCTGTGTTCTCTTATGTCTGTGTCAAACGGACCTGCTGTAGCGTGTTGTAGCGCCATCGCTAAACTGTCCTCCCTCGGGTCCTGGACTATGTCACTTTATCCTCGTTGTAGAAGTCCTGCAAACATTGTGTTTGCTGGTAGTCTGTTGGCATCTACAGTAGCACCAATGCTTTTGACTTTCACCTTGACTGGGCCCCATTTGTAATGATTAAATTTTGGAAGTTCTGGACCAGATAAATATGATTCTCAAAGTGGACCAGTAGACTCCCATGAGTCTACCAGTAAAGCATACTGGGACCTCTTGCTTGCTGGCTGGTGTTCTTTTCTGCCTTTTTGAAATACATTACGGTGTTATATTTGTGTTACTCTTGTCTGTTTTCATTGGATATTAAGTGACTGTAACTAAAGCTGGTTGGTGACGGTTGATTCCTGTTTTGGCCTCGATCATTCTGCTGATTCTACATCACTGGATTCAATCGTAGCTGCAGACCGAAGTCTCTGTTTCTCTGCTGAGTCAAAGTCAAGATTTTCCCCTGGAGCGGTGAAATATGCATGTATTATACTGGAACCCTATGGGAGAAGAATGACTTTTCCAGGTATTAGCCAGGCCCTCAGGCATTACCAGGTGTTTGGGCGTTTCATCGGATTTCACCGATAATGGACACATCATCGAGCACTATCCCTGCCTGCATACTCCAGTTTGCCCTTTTGCATGATTCCCCTGTGAGACAGGAGCCGGAGCAGAGGAGCTGGAGCAGAGGAGGAGTCAGAGCAGAGGAGGAGCCGGAGCTGAGGGGGAGCCAAAGCGGTACCAGAATTAATATGGAGGTTTACCAGAACCAGAGCAGAGACTCCGGCTTTGTCAGAAATGGATCCCTAACCCCTCTATAGGCGACTGTTTGGGGGTTAGCGCCATTTTGAGGGGTGTCCGAAACCTGAGTGATCAATTCCAGTGCCCCATATAGGCGACTCAAAATTTCCCATAAAGCATTGCAAAATGTAGTGACCATCCAATGGTCACTCACCGGTGGTGGGCATCCCATCATGCATTGTTTCTTGCCATGTAGTGTCCAAAACCTTTGGTGATTGAGCTCACTACATAGTCAGTTCACTACATAGTCAACTATATAGTAAAACCCCATATGGGGGTTAGTGATTCATTTCAGACACAGACTCCGACCGACTCGATGCGAAAGTCCAAAGGTTACACCAAAACTCGAATGGCGTTGGGTGAGTGTGTGTCGCAGTGACGGGCAGCAGCCACGTCCTGCAGCAGAGTGTATGAAATCATGTCCAAGGGCATGCCTATATGTGTCCAACATTATCCGGCAGAAAAGCGAGAAATTAGTTTTAAACCGAGCATGCAGTGGTATTATTGGAGGCTTTAATACGACGGATGGATCAATCTTTTGGCTATTAACCTTCAGAAGTCTACAAAGTGTGTTGCAGAGAGACGAAGAAACCTCCTCATCAATCAGTTTAACTGTGGCATCATGGGTACAACCTGCAGGAGGGTGAGGGAGGGGAGGTGGAGATTAATTTTCCATCATGTCCAATAGAAAGCTCATAGTTCTAGCTTTCGCTTCCTGGACGAACGCAGCTGCTCTTCCTGATCACAGGGCCGCGTGGTGTGTGGAGGCTTTCACAGGTCTGGCTGGGTCACACCTGTGGAGTGTTGGAGCGGCTCCATCACATCAAGGGGAAAAGAGCGTATGTGGAGGGAGATGAGCGAGGTGGAGGGGTGGAGGGGCGGGGGGTGTCCTTGGAGGGGTGTATGCCACGTCTCTACAGGCCTGAAAGGCAGCTGAGCCTCTGAATATTCATTCCCACCTCTGCTGGAGCAAATTTCAGCTCCACGCCCAGGCTGACAGGCAGGCTTGTGAGCCGTCAGGGGAGCGTCTAAAAAAATCACAGAACTAACTTGTGCACATTACTGAACAGAGTGTTTTACATCTTTTTATTACCCTCACAAAGCGTCCGCTCTCTTACATCTGTCAGCTCCTCAGTCTGATGTTCTATTCTGTTTAGCATAGTTAGCATAATAAGTGAATTATTTAGCTGCAGAGAACGGATACAAAAGTTAGATCCACCAGGAGACGTGTTCCTGCTTTGCTTTCTGCTGCAGTGCGAGTCGGCCTTGTTGAACGTGTCTGCTCTGAGGATAACATGTAACGGCGCCGAGTCCTCCCCGGCCCCCTCTGTGTGCAAGCAGAACTCGGGAGATTACGGGTTTCAATTAGCTGTGGGGCGGAGAGAATTTAAGCCATGCTAATTCCAGTCACTAGTGAAAATCCCAGGGAAAAAGACCGGCCACTGAGGCCTAATCGCCTGCCCCCAGACGTCTCTCATTTCATGGGTACATTTAGGGGGGAAATTATTCAGGATGTAAATTCTGAGGTCACAGGATTTTCACTTTGTGGAGAAACTCATTAAAAGGACAGAACTCCAGCAGAATTTCTCCGATTCACACTTACCCTCTTCTTTTGGATGTTTTTCTCTACCTTCCTATCCCTCATGAGAAGAGCATGTTCGCCTCTTCTTCTAGGACTTTATTTTGAAAGGGTTTGTCGTCAAAACGATGCTGATCCATACAAATAATGTTACAATCAGTGTTGCCAGATCTCGTGAGAGAAACCAGCGACCAGCTCTAAGAAAACAAGCCCAAAATAAACAACCAACCCGCCACATTGTGTAAAACAATGGCCGCTGGTTAACAGTAAAAACTATAAATCTGCCGATTGTTCGCAGACGACAACCTGCTAATACTCGGCGCCCTGCGGTGTTGCACCCATGTGCGTCACGTATGCTAAAACATACTGAGTAACGCCATGTAACAAAACTCATTTTGAAAGTGTGGCGCCTGTTATTTTGTTTTAGTTGTGCGCCACGATTCATTACATATAAGAGAAAAATTATTCCTTAGCAACAGCAAAATGATGACAAACACGGTGAAGATAAAAAGTATAAATAACTTTCAACGTCGATTGAAAGAAAAGGAATTGGGTTCAAAATTCTTTCCATATTTTGGCCACTTTTTGACACTCGCTCTCACTCTGTCTCCTCGCTCATTTCTCCGCCTCTCTGGCGTTACATCCATGAGGATGATGCACCGAGTGAGTGTGTCGGGGGCATGGCGAGTACTCGAGCGGGCACGATTCAGGAAACAGTGGTCTGGAAAGGACAAATTACCTACCATACTGGCGTTTTGTTTTGCTTTTGTAGGGAGCTGTGAGATAATCAGGAGGGATTACTAGTTAAAAACAACCCTGACTACAATCTCTGATTTTTCTGTGTTAAACTTCAGCAAAGTTTCCAAACATTAGAGACGTGAATGTTGTTGTTACGCGCAAATATGTTCTTTAGTTTTAAGACCTGAACCTGATG